CCAAATTATTAATAGAAATTTCACTAAAAAAATTTCAATTATAAAAGATTCTCACAAAGGAATTTGCCACAATACCTTCGAACATACATTCTTTCCGCACCCAAATCATTATGTTCCCTCTGGTAGATACGACTATGACAAAACAAAGACACCAGAACCCTTGAACCACCATGTTATTCCGAATATAATCAATCAGTACTCTCAAAATTCTCGGTAAAACTAACTAACGCTCTCTCTTTTCCAGACCGATCCAGAAACCGTGTTCAGGGTTCATCGAGAAGTTCTTTTTGCTGTAAACGATCGGTACCGTGGTCTTCGCGATGCGTTTCAGATAGAACCTGTGCAGCAGATTGGCGGTCAGAAGCTTGGCCTCCATCAGAGCGAACCGATTGCCGATGCATTTCCGCGGGCCGATCCCGAAGGGCAGGTACACGTAAGGATCGATCTTGTCCTTGTTCTGTTCGTTGAATCGTTCGGGATCGAACTTCTCGGGCTCCGGGAAGTATTTCGGGTCGTGATGCATTCCGTAAACAGGGAACCCGAGTACATCGCCTGGCTTAATAGTGATACTATCGTAGCCGGGCGCGGCCGGAGACAACTCGAACTTCTGGACGCACGATCTGTCTATGAAGGGCACGGGGGGATACTTTCTGAGCGCCTCGGACGTCACCATCTCCAGGTACTCCATCTTGGTCAGGGCCTCGTAAGAGATCTCGCCGTTGCCTTCGGTCATGTAGCGGTCGACTTCCTCGCGCAGCCTCTCCTGGATGTCAGGATTCAGGGCCAGCTCGTAGACGGTGTAGCACATCAACGTGGAGGCCGTGTCAAAGCCGGCCAGGAAGAAGATGAACGCCTGCGCGACGATGTCGTCGATCGTCATCTGGTGCGTCGACGGCTTATCTTTGTCGCGCGCCTGCATCAGCATATGGATCATGTCCGGCCTGACTATGTTCTGTTCGTCCCGAGTCCTCACCGTCTCGGAGACCACGTTGTAGAAGAACTTGGTGGTATCCTTGGTGAAGAACGTCAATCCCATCATTTTCGTGAGCCGCGGGCTCATGCGGAACATCAAGAACTTGATGAACTTGAAGAAGCCGCCGAAATTCGAGGCGTCGACTCCCTTCAGATAGAACTCGTTGTTCTGGTTCTTCAGGGAGTTCACGCTGATCCCGAAGGCCGCGGTGGCGATCACGTCGTTGGTGTACCTGGTGAAGATGTCCTTCGCCTCGATCGTGGTGAACTGCTCCGGATGGTCGTACAAGTAGTCCGTGAATTCTTTGCAGCACTTGGACACCAGCTCGAACATGAACCGCATCTTGCTGGCGGTGAAGGTCGGGCTCAAGGTGTTCCTCATCTCTCTCCAGCGTTCGCCACGCAGCGAGAATACGTTCTTCCCGAAAATAGGATCCATCTCCTCGTCGACGAAGTTCTGGTGGTCGGTGAAGTGCTCGAAATACTTGATCCCTAGGTCCCTGATCAGCGCCGGGTCACGGATGACCACGGTCGGGGTGAAGAAATCCATCGACCCTATGTACCTTACGTCCTTGCGATAATCGTACTGGTACTGTGAGAACTCCGGTATCGACATCTTACGGAAGAACATCTGCCATCCGGACCCTAACATCGGTGCCGTCGGCAGACGCGGCGCCCTTCGCCTCTTCCAATAAGTGCATTGATCATAGACCGCCCAGATGGCCTTCACCAAACCGATCACCACCAGGGCTACCACCAGCAGGTTGTACACCATCGTGACGAGTATGCGTTACGAGTGACTCGAACGCGAGACTAGGAGCAATGTTATAAACGTGAGTGAACACTTGGGACAGATTTATCATTAGTAGCTGCGGTAGGAGGGAGTAAGTCTCTTACGTCAACCACTTGACGATCTGCGTTGTTAGTCGTCGATGCCTTCCGAAGTTTCTGGAAAAGCTCGGTATCACGAAAGCCATCGACGAACCGTGCTTCAAAAGGTTATCTTCCTTCAAGGATTTCGGGGGACCCGATCCGTTATAATTAATCAATTTATTTCACGGTTGTAATACTGTCTTAAAGATTGACAGAGATAAGGTGCACAATTGACGATTCCTGCAGTCTTTTTGTTATCTGCGAAAGTTGATATCGTCGTTCTTACGATCATCGCCGTTCGTCGAAGCTATTTCGTCATTTGGAAAATTATAACTGACCGATGCACTTTATGAACGATGAAGTCTAAGCAGTAATAAACAGCGCGAAGATACGAGCAGAGTGTGCTGTAGACATTTAACAAGGAGGAACAGCTGTAAGTTGTGTACGAGACGTTTGCCTAAAACCTTGAACGTGTTTTTTTAAGAACTTATCTTGGGGATTAAACAGATCAATGGATGCGTAATTTTATTTTTTAGTCTGCTGGTCCTACTGAACGTTTCCACTTAAATATCTTCCCCAATGATGATGTTACAAACAATTTTCTTCTATCGTTTCGGAGATTTGAAGATCAACTTTCTTTTCTTAAATGGAATGCTATATTCTTGATATCAAGATATGGAATAATAATGAATTCTGAGTAAAAACATATTGGCCTTTATTAAACCTAATAGCCAACGAGCAATCTCACTTCGTTTTCTGAAAATTTTTCCGTTGACCCGCTGAAATCTGTGATAAGGTTGAATCTCCAACTTGATATTACGTGGACAAAATTTTCAAAAAATGAAGCGATATTACTCCTTAGCTATTAGGTTTAGGGCTAATGGAGGTCGATACTTTTTTACTCAGAATTCGACATTCTTTCATATTTTGGCATAAAAAATAGAGTATTCCATTTAAAAAACCAAGGTTGATCTTCGAATCTCCAAAATGCCTCCAGCCAGAGAACAAAAATGGATACACTACATAACGTACTCCTATAAATCATGCAACTTTTGTATACGAAACTTTTTCGTGCAATGCATACTTTGGAAGTTACAGAGGTGTGCAAGTTGCGTGAATCACCATGTACAGTAAATTCTCCCTTATTGACTTTCAGCTTGTACACAAAAATGAACAATTTGGGAAGAGGAGATACGATTATTCGAGCCTTGTGACTCATTTTTATAGTTATCGTTTGTCAACAACTATAAAAACGAACCGCAAGGCTCGAATAATCGTATCTCTTCTTCCCAAATTGCCCATTTTTTGTGCACAATCTGAGCGCGAATTAGGGAGAAATTACTATATTTAGATGGACCATACTGTATCTTGTATCATACTAATTGAAAGACATAACACACTATTATGTTTCTTTGTCTATTTCTGCTGTTTTCCAAGAGACCTACGATTCTTCTGTCAAAGTTCGAATTTACATTGTAGCATGATGTTAGATATTGTATAAAACAAGCGTAGAAGACAATGTCTGTTTCCAAAAATTGTTGACAATAAACTGACAAACCAGTCAAGCTCACATATTTTTAGTATTAACGCAATACCGATTTTCTTTATTCGTGCTATACATATATTACAATAAAAATCACAGAAAATCTCTTTCTACTGTACCGAGACCTATTGTTACGAAAATTTAACCGACGTAAATACTAGAGATCGATAGTTATAATCGTAGAAACTAGACACGGGTTATTGAACAGTAATGAGTACGACTATCATTGGCAGAGGATGATGATTAAAATTCGCATTGTAACGTAACACTGTAATGCAGTATAATAAACCGATTCCAGCTCACCACTATTGAAACTGTGATAAATGCTAATATTGCAGAACAATTTATTACACTTTTGGCTAAAGGGTAAATATTTCGTTGTTCCTGTATCGGATTTGAATGCATTAAAAAGCGAAACGATGAAAATTCGTTTAGCTGAAAAATTTAATTATTGCTGAATTCCGTTCAAAATATTATACAAGTCAGGCAAGTAGTTGAGGTGCAGGTGTAACACGCGAACGGAAAATCAAACTCATTCACCTGAGTGTACAGTTACACACCGTTGCAACCAAATCCGGCCGAAGGTAATTCAAATTTCAATGCGAATTGCCTATCGATGAACGCAACAGGAGAGTACATTCTGACTGTCTCTGATACCACCGTTCCCACGTATTTCATTTTCGCTAGACCATCGTATGGAACAGCTAAATACCAACCATCACCCTTCTGCTACACTATGTCTTCATGCAAAATAAACTCGTGCAGTAGAAACCGATGTACTGTAATTTCTCCCCAATTCGCGCTCAGATCGTGCACAAAAATGAATAATTTGGAGGAATATGATTATACGAGCCTTGCGACTCATTTTTATAGTCGTTGACTAATCGGTAACTATAAAAACGAGCCGCAAGGCTCGAATAATCGTATCTCCTCTTCCCAAATCGTCCATTTTTATGCACAATCTGAGCGCGAATTAGGGAGAAATTGCAACATTTTAAAAATTGGATCAAATGACTCGAATTTCTTTGACTTATTAGAGGGAGTGTTTATTAGCCGAATTTTTACAACATATGCATTTGTTTGATGCACGAGATCCCGAATTGATCAGGGACATAGGTATCAAACACTTCGACCACTTCGTGTACCATCGCTTGATCAACGATAGAATCCATTTTTGTGCGCAATCTCAGCACGAATTACAGAGAAATTATAGTAAATGAATTCATTCTGCTACCCTGTATAACTTATCGAACAAATACAGCGGCTCACGAAAATATTTGTGCACATTTAACCCTTCCTTTATAAGGAAGTGATCCGTCTCCTCGCGCAGCTTCTCCTGGACATCATGACTCAATGCGAGTTCGAGAGTCATGAAAGACATCATCGTGGACACCGCGTCGAAGCCAGCCAGGAAGAATATGAACACCTGAGCGACGATGTCGTCAACGGTGATCGTAGCCATATTTTGCTCGTCCCTAGCTTGTATAAAAAGATGGATGGCCTGACGATATCTTGCTCCTTTCGAATCCTCGCAGCGTTGGCGACAGTTTTGTGAAGGAAGTTCTTCGTCGATTTCGTCCTTAGCCTTAATCCTAACATTCTGGCTAAAAGGGGGAACATATTCAGCATCGCGAACTATCGAAGCGAACATCGTGCTTATGTCTATTCCTGTTTCGTAGAACTCGTTTTTCCTATCCTTCAAGGTGTTCACGCTGATCCCGAAAGTTGACATCCCGATCGCATCGTTGGTGGATCTTTTAAAAGTTACATCGCCGTCCACCATGGAACAAAGCTCCGGATGGTGGTGTAAATAGTCGAAGAAGTCGTGGGAACATTCGAACGCCAAGCCGAACATGAATCTCATTTTACTGGACCTGTAGGAGGGAATGTTCCTCATTCTTTTCCTATGTCTCTGATCATTTCGGGATCTCGTGCTTCAAACAAATGCAAATGTTGCAAAAATTCGGCCAATAAACTCTCCCTCTAACAAGTCAAAGTGTAATAAATTGTTCTAGAATATTAGCATTTACCTCAGTTTCAACAGTGGTGAGCTAAAATCGGTTTATTATACTGTATTACAGTGTTACTTTACAGTGCGAGTTTTAATCATCATACTCTGCCATTGACAGTCGTACTCATTATTGTTCAATAACCCGTGTCTAGTTTCTACGATTATAGCTATCGATCTGTAGTATTTACGTCGGTTAAATTTTCGTAACAATAGGTCTCAGTACAGTAGAAAGAGATTTTCTGTGATTTTTATTGTAATATATGTATAGCACGAATAAAGAAAATCGGTATTGCGTTAATACTAAAAATATGTGAGCTTGACTGGTTTGTCAGTTTATTGTCAACAATTTTTGGAAACAGACATTGTCTTCTACGCTTGTTTTATACAATATCTAACATCATGCTACAATGTAAATTCGAACTTTGACAGAAGAATCGTAGGTCTCTTGGAAAACAGCAGAAATAGACAAAGAAACATAATAGTGTGTTATGTCTTTCAATTAGTATGATACAAGATACAGTATGGTCCATCTAAATATAGTAATTTCTCCCTAATTCGCACTCAGATTGTGCATTATTCGAGCTTTGCATCTCGTTTTTATAGTTGTTGACAACCGGTAACTATAAAATGTCTCCTAACTATAAAGTATCTCCACTTCCCAAATTGTCCATTTTTGTGCGCAATCTCAGCGCGAATTAGGGAGCAATTACTATACTCCGTTTTAAAAGGTGTCTGTATATTTTTATGAACGACTGTGTATCAAACGTCCTATCATTTATACCCGTAATGTAAATTGTCCTGCTGAGCGTTACTTTGACTATCGAATTTAAGAATTGTCTAGCTAGACACTCTACACACAGAAAGCATTTTTATTGCTAATCTGATATCTTATTTCTGAAATCATTTGCCTTGAAAAGTTCATTCACCTGGTCTTCTATAATCTTGAGTTCGGAAGACAAAGTTCGATCGGCAGATCCATTATTATCAGACAAGTGTAATCTGATTATTTGAAGTACTAGATTTTACCAATAGCAATATCGTATGTTCTTAATAGGAAATGCCGAAATTAATTTCATCATTAAATTAATTTATCGATTGCACATTCAATACTACTCTGTGCCCGGAAGTAGAAAATATTTCTTTACTCTAGATATTTATGATGGTCTAGAATCATCCAAAGACAATCAAACAAAAGATTATAATAAAAGTAAAATTGTGAAAGGTCTTTATCATCGTACGTATTCTGATAAATAATACATTTGTCTTGGATTTTAATCATCTTCAATTCGATCAAACAGGTTCAACCTGACTCGTTTAGTATATTTTTATAGTCGTTGGTATGAAAAATCCAGACATAAAAAGGTGATGGCCATTGTGTAACAATGTCTGAAATCTTCGTATCTCTATCTACATCTAAGTAAATATCATGCTACTTGAATCGATTTAGATGAACAAATTTTTTTTTAATACATCGCGAAGAAAACAAAGATTATGTTTATCTAGTTATCTAGCAATCTAGTATCGTCATCAGCGTATAATCGAACTACGTTGTTGCATACTACGTTGTTGCGGAAAATTATTGTCGCTACATTCGCATTATTATTCATCACAACACTAAATTTTAGACATAATCATGTAAATGAAGTATGTAATTTACAATGAATCTCATTTTAAAACAATCTCGATGCTACCAAGTTTAAGAATGTTACGATGAAACTATTCGTAGTATAAATACTGAAATTAATACTTACTATTATAAATGAAAACAATTTCAAGAGATACACATTTATCGGTATGTGTATACAGGAACAAATTGTTATGCTGCGCATAGATTTGAGAAAAATATTTTCAAGTAAAACTTCAAGTTATGAAGTATGATAGTAAAATAGGTATTTGTTTCTCAACATAATAGAAGCATCTGTTTCGTCACTGATATTAAAAATTGTATAACCTTCATCATTTAACTTAATCAATAGACATTCTGAACACGATAAATTGAAGCCATGAATCAACTGACTTTAGCTAGTACCTACCATTTTATCAGTCGATTAAAGTCACTTAACTGCCTCTGTTACCATTCCTATCCCACGACTGAAAAATTGTCTAGTTCTTTTTATAATATCAAAATGGTTTTTAATCATTAGTGACACTCTAATTTATAAAAAGTAATTGTGTAATATATTGGTAAGTGCTTTTACGTCGCACAAAAAATTGCAAATGTTCCTTAGAGAGGTGAATGACAATTAGTAAATAAATATTTAATCCTGGACTAACACATTCTGATTTAAAATTTCTACTTGTACCAAACATACAACTTGTTTGATGTGATATTGTTTGATACGCAGGGGTAAGTATATTAAATCACATAGTCTTAAATTTATTGTTAACCACACCATTCATACAAAGGTCCAAACCGTATGCGCGCTTGTAATTTAGAAATATCTTTGCAAATTAACGGTAACATTAAATGAAATCAACGGTCACAGAGGCGGTAATATTTAATTTAATGATATTTAATTTATTTAACGATTTCTTTTAATCTCTATTTATGGTTTCAATTTGCATTTAATCTATGACTGAATGTAATAGTGTCGTGTATGATGATAATGATATGCGGATAAACTACGAACTTTTATGGGAAATATATACTGTCCAATTAATTTTAATAATTTGAATAAATCGTAAATAACAGAAAAATCATTTTGATCAAAAATGCATAAAATTCACAGTCTATTAATGATTATATTCTCTACGATTTTTGTAAAAGGACATCTTAAAAAAACAACGATAAAAACGGTCACAATAAAAACGGCCATAATCCACGAACCAATAATTACAATTAAAAAAGCCTTCTAAACATCCCTTTCCTTTAAAGTGTACCAGAACCCATCTATCGGAAGCATCTGAAAGTTCATTCTACTGGATAACAGTGGTTTAGTTTTTTCGTTCGGTTCTATCACAAACTTCTGCAAGAGATAGACCATCATAATTTTGATTTCCATTAAAGCGAAGCGATTGCCGATGCACATACGGGGGCCAATTCCGAACGGCAAGAATGTGTAGGGGGCAATTCTTGCCTTGTTTTCTTCGCTGAATCTTTCCGGATCGAACTTCTCCGGATTGGGAAAATATTCTGGATCGTTGTTTAAAGCAAAAGTAGGAATCCAAAGAGCGTCGCCCGGATTTATGGTCACGCTTTTGTAACCAGGCCCGGCGGCAGGTAGTTCGAACTGTTCCACGCACAGCCTATCGAGGAAAGGAACCACAGCGTGCTTCCTGAGCGTTTCCGAAACTACCATGTCCATGTACTCCATTTTCGACAGAGCCTCGTACGAGATCTTCCCGTTGTCTTCGGCAAGATAGCGATCCGTTTCCTCGCGCAGCCTCGTCTGGATGTCTTGATTAAGCGCCATCTCGAAAGTCAGGAAAGACATTATCGTGGACACTGTGTCAAATCCAGCTATGAAAAATCCGAACGCCTGGGCGACCATGTCTTCGATAGTGATATCCTCCGAGTTTTGTTCTTCCTTGATCTGCATCATGAGATGGATCATGTCTGGCCTGACGATACCTTTCTCCCTACGAATCCTCACAGTGTCTGCAACAACCCTGTGAAGGAAGTCCACCGTTGATCTCGGGAACACTCTCATCCCAAGCATTTGGCATAAACGGGGGCACGCGCGCAATAAAGCGAACTTGAACATGTTCAGAGAGTTCAAGGATCTGTTGACCTCCGTCGCTTCTCGATAGAACTCATTGTTCCGTTCCTTCAACGTGTTCACGCTGATGCCGAAAAGCGACGTGGCGAACACGTCGCACGCGTACGTTTTAAAAGTTTCTTTCGCGTCCACCATTGCGCAGAGCTCCGGGTGGTTGTACAGGTGGCCGAAGAAATCGTGGGAACAGTCGTTGAACAGGCCGAACATGAACTTCATCTTGCTGGACGTGAAGATCGGAGTCATCGTGTNCCCGTTGTCTTCGGCAAGATAGCGATCCGTTTCCTCGCGCAGCCTCGTCTGGATGTCTTGATTAAGCGCCATCTCGAAAGTCAGGAAAGACATTATCGTGGACACTGTGTCAAATCCAGCTATGAAAAATCCGAACGCCTGGGCGACCATGTCTTCGATAGTGATATCCTCCGAGTTTTGTTCTTCCTTGATCTGCATCATGAGATGGATCATGTCTGGCCTGACGATACCTTTCTCCCTACGAATCCTCACAGTGTCTGCAACAACCCTGTGAAGGAAGTCCACCGTTGATCTCGGGAACACTCTCATCCCAAGCATTTGGCATAAACGGGGGCACGCGCGCAATAAAGCGAACTTGAACATGTTCAGAGAGTTCAAGGATCTGTTGACCTCCGTCGCTTCTCGATAGAACTCATTGTTCCGTTCCTTCAACGTGTTCACGCTGATGCCGAAAAGCGACGTGGCGAACACGTCGCACGCGTACGTTTTAAAAGTTTCTTTCGCGTCCACCATTGCGCAGAGCTCCGGGTGGTTGTACAGGTGGCCGAAGAAATCGTGGGAACAGTCGTTGAACAGGCCGAACATGAACTTCATCTTGCTGGACGTGAAGATCGGAGTCATCGTGTTCCTCATCTTCTTCCAGCGGTCGCCCTTCAAGGCGAAAAGGCTCTTCGCTAATAACGGCTCGATCGCCTCGTTGGCAAAACTTTGGCGATCCGTGAAATGGTTGAAGTGTTTTATACCCATCTCTCTGATCAATTCCGGATCCCGCATTAAGACAGTCGGATTGGAGAAGTCCATGAACCCGACGTATTTCGTGTCCGCGTGACTATTGTAAACAGATTTGATGTAGTCCGGCAATGTCATGCGCTCGAATAACAATTGCCATGCGTTCCCAAAGAATGGTATCGTTCGCACGTGAGGAACTCCGCGTTTCCGCCAATACGTGAACTGTTTGTACGCAGATGCCACAAGCTTCGTCAAACCGAGGACAAGGAGAGTAACCACCAGCATCCCGAATGCCGATGAATTTGATGTGAACTCCATGGCTCGACTCGTACGATGCCAATGACTGACTAACTGCTAACTGACCCCTCGCAAAATGTTCGCCAGACGTTCCATTTCCACGCACAAATAGATATTAATGCGACGCGTTATACACTGCAATCGGCGACTACCTTATATAGCATGGATCATCACGTACCATTAGATACGAGACAGATCACTCGCAACTTGAGTATTGTGACTAATAACACGTGGCGGTGATAAATCGGATTGGAGTCTCCGACTGCTTGAAATATTTCGCAGAAACGGTTTACGTGGGTGATATGTCCAATGAATAAACACCCAGGGCGGTCCTTATGCTTCGACTTTTGATCTTATCCGGTCTTGAATCCCCAAACTCTGACATTTGGTGAGAAACTGATGCTCGCAAAATTTGGAAAATAGGCAGTCTTCGGAGAAATATTTGACAGGACGCGGTGATAATCACCAGAAATCAGAACTTAATTGTTGAGTGTATGTGTGTGTGTTCCCCCTCTCCCCCCGCTCTCTTTCTCCTTTCTCTGTCTCAACAATTTATTTATGTACCAGCAGTTTTATAACAGTCCCTTCGAAATCAAAGATCAACAGGTGAGAATTTCTTAAAAGATTGTTCAAAAGCAACAATAATTTAATTCATAATGTAACATATTATTTGGATTAATGTAATGTAATAACTTCTTTCGAAATTAGTATTTATCCCTGTGCGTTCGAATCTCTCCTCCCATCTCAGATCTCATTTGGTTCAATTTGGAAAACGTTATTCTGCTTTAAGACGTGTTCGAACACTTTCGTGATCTACTAAAAGAATTAAGTGATACCTTGTTTTAATACTAGGAGAAAGTGTCTAAAACTTACGATTTTAGCAATAGATATCTCAAATCGTTTTAATCGGTCTCTAAAATCGTACCTGCTTCTGAGATAGTTAACTGTAGCGTGGGAATAATAAATACATTGCGGATTTTTATGCAGAATGGAAATCTTGTGCATCAACTGTACAAAAGAAAGGAATTAGATAAAACGGTCTTTCTTCTTTTAATAGTTTTAATAAATTGAAGATAATGTAACTATTTCTCCATAAATGCATAAAATTCGCAGCCTAGTAATAACGCAATAAACAGATATAAATTGAATCACTCATAGACATCATCATCTTGCATTTATAAAAACGGGCAACACTAGAAGACGAATAACTATTACATTGTTTTGCACGTAGAATGACGAATATTTTTTTAAATTTAATTAATCAACTCTTTAGAAAGTTTTTTTTATGATGAATGAATAGAGGAGAGTTTCCACAACATAATGGTATACGTGATTATTAAATTGTTTTTTCTGACTGGGGATAATTTGCAATCAGAATTTGAAAGAATCATTAAATAGTGCAAAACATTCGAGAAGATCAGGCGATATCAAAAAATTAACCGCGGATTTTTCGCAGTTACAATTTATAAAATGGCTACCCGTTATATTAAGTATTTGCAGATGCTCGAGAAGTATATTGAAAAACAAAAGTCGTATGTACGTTTACGTTACTAATATAAAATATTTCTTATCAGATTAAATAAACAGTAAACCGATCAACAACGTATCGTACTCTTTTCTATTAAATAATAAATTATATAAAATTCTAGATATTCGTATTTCTCAACGATTGACCCTCGAATCAAGGAAAATTAATAAAAACATGAAAATAACAAGTCTATAAATAACTCCACAATTCCTGATTGTATCTTGTAATTGAATTATTTGCTAACGGACTAATAAAAATAAAATAACACTCGTCGATAAAACGCAAACGTGTTTTGAGAACGAAACACAGAAATATTGGCACTTGCAATACAACAAATAAATAAAAAATCCTCCTGTTTTATACAATGGTAATGGACACTGCATGAAGTTGAATGCGATGATATGTACACGATCGTCGGTTCAAGCTACTTCTATTATAATATAACTGTCATATTTGTAATCACTTACCGATAAACACGAAAATCTGATGATGAGAATATCGCAGCAACATCGAAATGGAAATAGTCTGAAAAACAAATAATTTTATGTTACAGAGTAAACAGTACAATGGGATTTCGTTCGAATGAACTCCATTTATATGAACTAAACTTTAACAGTATTAATTAACTGAACGCTATCTTGAACTGTATACTTTTACATAGTAGATTTTTATATGAATTCAAACAGAAACTTTAAATTATAGTAGATATTTAATAGAAATTTAACGAACCCTTTGATGAACCCTATTAACATTAGAACTACCAAACCGGAGAGAATGACGAATTTCAAATTTATATTTTACAATTCTTGCAATTAATAAGACGTCTATTTATTCGGATGTATTTTATTATAAAAATCGATCAATGACCTCGCAAATACAGTCTTGTTGTTTTTAAAAAGCAATAAGAACTAATCACTTTTTTTTCAGTCCTCGGTAGTTCTAGTGTTAACACAGCGGATCTTTTTGATAGAAATAAATCTGAGTATACTAAGGATCATTTATAACTTTGTTTAGTTAATTCTAAGCCTTAATGAAAAGATTGCGGATTTTTATGTGAAATAAATGTTTCCTTTCTCCGTTTAACAATTCTATTTCATATTATTAAAAGTTTATTCGTTGTTTATATTATAATTTAATCTGTTTCATTGAAACGCCGTTCTATCAGTTATTTCAAAAGTGATCATAGGCATGAAAATAATTATGAAATAATGTAATATGTTATTTGAAATAATATTTCAAATAATGTGATATTAAATGTGCTCAGGTCTGGTATCATGACTTGCGGAGATACAAAGGAAGATAATATCAAGTGCATGAAGTTAAAACTAATAACAAAATAAACAATTTACACCCATTGTATCTACATTTATCCAACAAAAATTCGACGACAGTTAACCCGTTACTCTAAGCTATTTTATCTCGAAATCTAAGATATTTTTTTCTAATCTACTGTAGTTTCATTTTATACGATTTACTGCAATTTATGGATATGACATTGAACCTATTGGCACGCACAATACTAGCACCATTAATAATTGTTTAAATGTAAACAAATCTGATGCTGTCAAAATTATTTTGAAACGCAATATAACAATTTTTAGTGACGCCTCAGAGTCGGCATTAGTGTGCAAGGATTTACAATTATTCGAGATGAATGGACAATCCATGTATTAATATAGGACAACAATACAAAATGAAAAGGTACGTAATTTCTACGAACCGCCAAATTTTCTTTCATCAGAGTTACGATCCGAAATACTCGCGAACAGAAATGCAATATTGATAAAAATTATCCTATCATTGAGTCACGCAAATCAGAACCCGGCATTAATGAAAATATGTTTTTTTGATCAAAAAAGGGATTACAATAAAGCCACGTTACGAGATAAATTGCGAATCGTACGGTGCGCGCACGGCTATTTGGTTGGGAGCGAATAGTGCAATTGAATTGCGATCGGTTCGGATTGAACTAGCACCTGACACCCCCGCCGATAATTTACTATTTATTTGCAATGAGCGACCTTAGCAACGGGACCGTTTAATCGTGCTTTGCAGATGCGCCGGTGTTATTTGCAAGGAGAGTGGCGGAACAAAAAATAGCCGGCATAGGACTCAAAAAGACGATCTCATTTAACCCTCTAAAGGCGGGCGAGTTTTTGAGTTTTCTGTATGAAATCGTGGGCTAATTTTATTTGTAATCCAGATGCGTCTCAAGAGTTAGATTAGAAAAAAATATAAAATGAAAAACGAAAAAGAAATAAATAAATTTTTTTAACTATCAAATTTCAAATTTCTTGAATTTAGTTTTTCTACTAAATTTTACAAGATATTTAAAACGCGAATCGCACGTTACCCGCAATACGAGGGTTAATTCTGGTACGGTGTTTTGTCTATATAATCTAAATCGTGTGTTAGGCTTATATAACTTTTTTAACACTAAATCCACCAAGCCGCTCAAAATAGACCAGTTACAGATTGTTTTTCTTTCAAAGTTGCTGAAATTATGAATACAATTTCGCAGCAAATGATTGAACAAATTCGTAGAACCATCTTCTTGAAATTCATCCATGTTTCAAAGTAGCCAGTGCCACCGTTTTTAATTTTTTGAACCCAAAATACTTGCAAATGTTGCGTTGAAACATACGTCAATAAACCTGGTAAACGTGCGACTGCGAAACGTGTTGTACTTTCTTCACGAAGAAATCACAAAGAAAATTCAAGAAAAGTGCCAATTACACTAGAACATCCCCTCAAAGTGAAATCGCAGTTACATCGATATGTATCCAAAAGCGTTTCGCCCCAATTTCCCATAGTACTCGATACGGTGCCGTGAAAAATATTCCGAGTGCAGGGGCAAGGGAAAGAACAGTTCGATGAATAAAAAAGTCGACCGGTAGGGCCAGGGAAGCGAAGAAGAATAGTGTTGCAGGCCGAATTGTATTGGAACAGAGCGGCCGATGTCGTGTGCACATGACGCAGGAGATACGGGGTAGTACGCGGATAACGACAGTACCATACACGTGACTTTACGGAGGGTTGACCGAGGGTGGTTCCAGGTGGCACTCCAAGCACCGGAGTAACATTCACGTGTTGTTGCACGGGGTTCACCCACCGCCGCCCGTCCCCCAAACCCCAAGCTCCGGACCACCCCCGTCCCTCCCCCGGCTACAAGCAGGTACATTCAAAGCGCTCCCGAGGTTCTCTGTGCGCGCGATATTAAGCGGAAACTCGACGAAAGAGTAACAACGTATTTAATTCAAAATACCGGGTAACGATAATTGTCGAGGAAATTGAATCGCCGGAATCCGACGAGAATTCAATTGGGGCTCGATCAATTTGCTAATTCTTGTTCGCCGCGGGGCGCAAGAATTAACCGGCGCGAACAAAATGCTCCTTTCATCCGAGGACGATGCTGCACCCGCGGAATCGCGATTCGCGAGCGTAACGAGACCAATCAACGTAATCATGACGCAGCGAACGTTGCGTCACGATGTACGGGCTGTAACTAACTCCCCGTGTTCATGTGCATGTTTGAATTTAAAATGAACCGCGCGATGTAATCTAGCGTGCATCGAAATTTGAAGGACTCGCGTTCGAGTCCGGGATTGGAAAAATCAACGACTCGCGGCCGGCTTGACGTGTTTCGCTCGAATATTTAACACGGATTAATAAATAATTAATCGCCGAAACTCTCTGCTCTGCTTCTTTCTCGATCACTCTTTCTTCCCCACCTACTCTCTCTCTCTCTCTCTCTCTCTTTCTCTCTCTCTCTCTCTCTCTCTCTCTCTCTCTCTCTCTCTCTCACACACACGCACACGCACACACCGTTCAATATATTCCAGCATTTCTTCTGGTAAAATTACTCATGCATGGAGTAATTGGCTGTTCACTATATCTGCCGTGAATACATAGATATGGACTAGATGTGGCCCGGCGTACAATGCATTGCATTTGAATCATGGTTAGTGGCATGTAGTATTACTCATTTGTACTGACGGTGTGAACCCATTAAACACGAGCGAAGCTATTCGTTGGTCCGTGTATGATCCAATCACTACCTAACACCCGGGGAATACCCCGAAATTTCACGAGCCATCTGGCATTCGCGCTGTTTACGTTGGTACGTGGCTTCGGATAATTCACTGATATAATTATGTCTTTGATTGTACAGCAAAAGTTAACCGTTAATCAGAGCCGGCCGTTTTATGTACTCGCCGGTAATCAAAGAAACTCGAAACGTTTCTCGCGGCTTTGTAAACGACGCGGAAGAAAAAGCAAAAATTGGTGACAACTCGTGGCACCTAATAACGTTCCGGGTTTGCTAGTGGTAAGGCTACCTAGCAGAGACCCTGTCCATCTGTAGAATAAATACTGTTGTTTTGGAATTACCTTAGATCGAGCAATTCGCATGCGAAACGTACTTGAGCTGCAGAGAATTCTGATATTGGAGATAATCGAGACTCAAATATTTATCGCGAATTATTAAATTATCGTAACCATTAAATGAGGACAATCTAGGGGACATGTGTAGTTGGTTTTGGACAATGTACCCCTACACAAAAAACTAATCTNCTCTCTCTCTCTCTCTCTCTCTCACACACACGCACACGCACACACCGTTCAATATATTCCAGCATTTCTTCTGGTAAAATTACTCATGCATGGAGTAATTGGCTGTTCACTATATCTGCCGTGAATACATAGATATGGACTAGATGTGGCCCGGCGTACAATGCATTGCATTTGAATCATGGTTAGTGGCATGTAGTATTACTCATTTGTACTGACGGTGTGAACCCATTAAACACGAGCGAAGCTATTCGTTGGTCCGTGTATGATCCAATCACTACCTAACACCCGGGGAATACCCCGAAATTTCACGAGCCATCTGGCATTCGCGCTGTTTACGTTGGTACGTGGCTTCGGATAATTCACTGATATAATTATGTCTTTGATTGTACAGCAAAAGTTAACCGTTAATCAGAGCCGGCCGTTTTATGTACTCGCCGGTAATCAAAGAAACTCGAAACGTTTCTCGCGGCTTTGTAAACGACGCGGAAGAAAAAGCAAAAATTGGTGACAACTCGTGGCACCTAATAACGTTCCGGGTTTGCTAGTGGTAAGGCTACCTAGCAGAGACCCTGTCCATCTGTAGAATAAATACTGTTGTTTTGGAATTACCTTAGATCGAGCAATTCGCATGCGAAACGTACTTGAGCTGCAGAGAATTCTGATATTGGAGATAATCGAGACTCAAATATTTATCGCGAATTATTAAATTATCGTAACCATTAAATGAGGACAATCTAGGGGACATGTGTAGTTGGTTTTGGACAATGTACCCCTACACAAAAAACTAATCTTGGTTGCACAAGACATATCCCTGTTAGAGACGCGAGAATATCGTCAGGTGTTGACCAATTAGCCATTCGCCGGCAGACAATGTGACTGATCAAATTTGAATTATAAGAGCAACGTTTTGATCCTGGCGAACGAGAATCGAAACAAATCGTTTCAACGCGACGCGAGGCGACGCTTCCGGGCTTCGCCGATTGGAAAAGGCTGGCAATCATTATCTTGACTAACAACGTAACAGTGCAACTTATTTGGAGACAATTTGATACGAAATTACCGGCTTGGGGCCTCTGTAACGAATACGATGCCCCTAATAACGTTGATTTATGCCCACCGGTTCAACTCCAAAGGGATCGCAGAACTTGAGGACGCAGGGGTTGGGAGGGTCTAACGCAGACTACCTCAGTACGTTACTTTGAATTGATTGCCGTATCCTTTTACACGTACCAGTTTGTCGCGTGGATATGTATGATACCATCCCCTCGACGGGGAAGAATATATCCGGATCGAAAACATGTAACGCATGAAACTAAATCTAACTTGCACGTTCGGAGCTTTCCAAAATCAACCCTACTGCTGCATCCGATACTCCGATACATAATTTATAACAATAGGTTAGCCAAAAAGTTCACGCGTTTCTTGACATTGTACGTTTTTTTCTTTCATCCGTCGAGGAACCGTACGAACTTTTTGGCCAACCTAATAAAAATGGTTCTATTCATTTTTACGACACAGACCGATTTAGCTGAACAAAAGAAGAAGAATATTTTCTAATTTAACCGTAAATAGTACTATTTTCTAAGCCACAATGAATGATGCAACCAATGCATGCAAGAAAATAAATGTCTAATTGTGAGTTATGACAGTAGTTGCGATTGAGAATACATATGTACTTACAAACACTAACATGATGAAGAACGCAGCAAGGTAGGAAGTCCTAGCCATCCACATGCTTACGAATCGATAATGTTCTCCGGTCACGACGTTTCTGTAAAGAGCAAAGAAACGAATCTGTAAACTCTATCCAATATTATAAAATGTAGAAACACACGTGGTATGTTTTATAATATTTTATGAATTCTGTACCTTAAAAAGCCATTATTGTCTTCGTGTTCCGCTAAAGTCTTAATACTCGCCATTAACAAATCATCATATCCCAAGAATTCATCGAGTATTAATCTTGAGAAAGCGTCACCAAAACATTTATCGTTGACGGGATCCAAAGTAACAATTTTTACAGGAATCTTTAATCGTTGCCTGGCAGCAGGTGATAATCTCAAGAAACCATATTCTAGTGAATATTCTACGATATAACCATCGTCTAAAAACATAAACAGGTTTAAAAAATATTGAGCGAGGTACTCAAGTATTATTACCCTTATTGTAAATAAATAAACAAAATTTCTTTTGAAGATTATTAATTATTACAGTTTCACTTTACCTGATCTAGATGCTTTGTCAGCTTCAGAGTTCTGCTCCTTTAAAGGTTGGATAACGTCTTCTGTGTTCGATTTATTTACGTCTTCTGCTCCGGTATTGTTTAATGTGCTTATTAGTTGTATGATTTTCTCATCTGACGTCTGAAAGTTGAAAAGGAAGTAACGTCAATGAAAAATAATGGATCGAAAAAATATAAAAATAGTAACGTTTCGAAAGATTCGTCAATTTCATTCTTAATCTTCGCATGCGATAATCGGGACACTGTAGATCCAAACAGCAACATAGACTCTGAACAGACGTACAGAATATCTTCTAACTAGTGAAACAATACTACAGACGAATCTACATAAAAAATGAAAGATTAGGTTTCAACAAAACTTGCCAGAACTTTGTTTATTGTTTAATATTAACAAATATCACTCTATATTTTCGGCTCTTTTTTTACGCAAATTCACTAGTTTTCAAGTTGAACTAAGTTGAAGATACTGAGTATAGTCCAATCATATGTAATCAAGAATCAGCCTTTGCAAATTTTTCAAAAAGATTCGGATTTTACATACTTTTCATTATTCTAGTAGGTGTCGTTTGATAAACGATATTTAAAAAAACTATGTTTAGTGTACGAAACATTTGAGCAATGTCGTAAACTTTTAAAGCGTATAATATGTTATATGAACTTTTTTTATCTTCCTTCGTATTTTTGTAACTTACATTCCAAATGAAAATAAAAATTAAGAAATGTTTTGTTGATTTCAAGACCCTTATGTCAATATGTTCTTAGAATCTTTCATCAAAATAAACTGTAGTTTTAGATACAAGTGCCATTTCAAAAAATAAAACTTATAGTTAGTAATTATATATGGTTCTTCGAATTGAGTCATAGTTGACCTCATTTTTATCACGAAAAACACATTAAACTCATTTATAGAAGTATAAACATAATGAAGAAAAAATAATTTATATATTGCAGTTAAGCAATTAGTATACTAATTAATTATTTAGCTCCATTTTGAAGTTTTCACGTTTCACATCTATATATACATATAGTATCTTATCACTCCTAGAGTGTCTCGTTTTGTATTTTTTTCAGAAGGTAAGCCCATGATAAGGGTCCAAGCAGAAATAATAAAAGGTCTGTGAATCTGGTTAGAATAATTCCCTTCTTTCAGGATCCGAAATTTTTCGAATATTTTGAAAAGTTACTGTAAATTATCTGAAATTTGTTCAAATATTGGTACCTACTTGCTTACTGTTTGTATCTACTTCATTCCAAAGTTTTGTTGAATATGAAGAACTTGTTGTTGCATTACTTACACTTGAATTTGGATCTTGTGGTTCACCAGAAACGGTAGTACTTTTGATAACTGTTTCTTTCTCGAATAATAATAAAGTGTCGTGATACTCGTCATTAGATATTTTAACAGCATCTCTATCTTCATCGACAGCAGATGATTCAATATTAATAAACCTATTAACAAAATATGCAGAAATTAATGAAATGGTCAGAACAATTAGTATGTATGATAAATTGGTTCTTGTTCTTACCCATCTGTAGGTAATATGCCCAAAGCATTAATTAGATGATCAACTTTTTCTTGTCTCAGTTTCTCTTCCTTTGCATAGCTTTTTTCTATACTATAGTCTTCTCCTCCATTTCTAAGTATTTCAACTCTTAATATACCATCACGTGGCCAATCATCTCTTATATGTTCTAAACAATTAATTGGTGCACGTGAAAATACTATGTGAATATAAGCCAACACGAAAAATGCTAATATAGCCTGAAAAGCACAATTCATAATTATATAATAACTGTATTACTGTAATATTATTTATGTATTTATAAAATTAAAAGAATAAACGAAAGATGATTAACCTTTAACAAAACTATAAATTCTATCAAACGTCTGACAGGCCTTGGAAATGTTCTTGCATAAGTTAATGCTGCTTTGATAAATATTGCATGAAATAATCTATCTCGTACATTAACTAATGGGTTTTGATTGTTATTATTTCTTATGTTATTATTATTCATGTTATTATTATTTAAAGTTCTTCGAGTTGTATCACCACCAATATGGTTATTATGTACAGATGCACCGTTCTGATTATTTGTTACTGGTATGGCACCGCCATCAGCTTGTGGCATTTTAAATATTATATAATATTTATTTTTAGTAGGTGATAGTTTATTTAACAGGTTGTTCACGCGTAAGCCTCATGTATTATATCTTTCAAAAAATATGTACACATGATATACTTGT